CTCAACAACTGCTTATAATTTAGTAAAGCATTGTAAATGCAGACATGCCTTTTATGCAGCTTGACATAAAGTCAATGCACCAAAAAAAAAACAACAACAACAACAACTAAAGGACATAAAATAAACACCACTATATAGAACACAACATGTTTTTTAACTCTAAACTGTTCGAGGGGGGTTGTATCACTGCAGTCTCTCTTTGCTCTCAGTACAAAAACCCCTGCGGCTAAAAAGAGCTGCGGTCAGAGCATTTACCTGGCAGTAATGCTTTAAACACTCCAGGCACCGCAGGAAAATGCTGCAATAAAAATAAATATTCATTTGAACTGATTCAGTTAAGCGAGTTTCAGTTTTAGCACACAAGATATAAGTTAATTTAAGTGCATAGTAGCACTGGCATATAATTGCATGTAATTTAGCTTATATAAGGATAGGGTACAACAGGGATAAAGGCCCACATTAAAGGGTTAGTTCACCCAAAAATGAAAATTAGCTTAGTAAAATTAGTTTTACTTACCCTCGAGGCATCCTAGGTGTATATGACTTTCTTCTTTCAGACGAATCCAGTCGGAGTTATATTAAAAATTGTCCAGTGTGTTGAAATTTCTTCTTCTGAATTCTACTGTACGGACATAAATTTACTTTCCCTTCAGCCTGAGGCTTATTCATTTCACTTTTGGTGTGAAAAGGCTTTTATATTTGCCCAAAATAGAACTTTTTTATTTTAAAAACAAAGAAGCAAGCCCTGTCCAGATTTAAAAAGTAACGCAAAAGTAACGTAACGCATTACTTTCCATAAAAAGTAACTAAGTAACGTATTTAGTTACTTTTTTATGGAGTAACGCAATATTGTAATGCATTACTTTTAAAAGTAACTTTCCCCAACCGACGGAAGGCGTATGATGTATGCGCGCGCACCTCTGAGGTATGCTAGTCTCGCGAGTTTGTTTATAGGAGCAAAGGAAGCAAAGTTTCCTTACTTTAGCAAAGGAAAACCAGTCTCCTCTTGGTATATATCGAAATCCTCCGACATTTTTCTTTGCAAATCTTCAGTTTGTACTTCTAATTCGTGACCGGCGTTTTGTTTTGTTCTCTCTCCGCATTCGTCACTAATCACGCAACGCCACGCGTCTTACGTCATCCGCCGGAACTGCTTCAGTAGATGACAGTCAGCGGAAGTGAGAGAAAAGTGTTTATTACGTTTGAAATATGGATATTTTTCTTAAAAAAACTCATGGATTTGGCTACAGGGGCCTTTATTCATCCCCCCGGAGCCGTCTGCGGCACGTTTTATGATGAATGCGCGAGATTTATTTGATGACTTGTGGACTGTTCAACTGCAACACCCACTGAGTGCCATTAAACAGCTTGAAAGATCAAAGACAATTTTTAAGTCATATACACCTAGGATTCTTCGAGGGTAAGTAAAACGCAAGCTAATTTTCATTTTTGGGTGAACTAACCCTTTAAGAAAAAATGCTGCGCCTAAAATGTATGATTGCAGAGAAAATATATACGTTGTATTGAACATTAATGGAGCAACAGATTTTGTGTGAAAATAAATCAGTCAAGTTGTTTATTTTGTTTAAAAATCTTAATAATGTACGAGGTGGCAAGAGGGTGTCACAGTGTCTGGTTGTGGTGCCCTGGACTGGCCACTTGAGGGCTCTCTTCCTGTTTCTATGTTTTATGTGTTAAACTCCATTTCCCATAGTCCCTTGCTTGTTAATTCTGTTCTGATCAGTAGCACCTGTTTATCATTTACTCATTATCCCATCTATATATACCATGCTCACTCTGTCTGTCTTTGCTGCTAGATTGTATTGTCTTCTGAGTTCATAGTTGTCTCATGTTCATCGTGTTTTCTGTTCTCTGTGTCTTGGATTACCTTTTGCCACGTTTTTGTTCTGTTCTGTTCATTTGTTACTTTCATTAAACTGCAAATGGATCTTACTTTGTCTCTCCTGGCATTCCGTGACAGAATCTAGCAGCCACTACAAGATCCAGCAGTTTGTTTTTCTTTTTACCTTTTTTTGTGGACCATGGACATTCGTATTATTCCTCCTGCTGCGAAGGAGCACAAGGCTCGGCTCCGGATGTTGGCGGATCTTCGCCAAGAGGGGATGGAGATTGGAGGTTTCGCTCAGACCTTTTGGGACCTTGCGGTAGGGATGGAACTTTATGACTCTGATTTAAAGAAGATTTTTAATGATTGTTTAGACAACCCCATGCCTCCTCGGGAGATGGATGGGCTTAAGATTCTTGACTTTTGGGTTCTCATTGAGTATCTCGGTTACCGCAACTTGATAATGTCATGTCGGTCTGAGTCCCGTGCAGTGACCCGGAGATGCCTGAGCCAGCTCCAGTGGATAGCGAATCATCAGTGTCTCAGTCGCGCAAGCGAGGGTCAAGGAGGAGGGCAGCAAGGTTCACATCCTGCTGGCCCGCCTTGGCCTTTCACCCTACCGGTTCTGTGCTCATGCCCTGGTCTATCTCTGTCCCCTGGTCCCCTTCCATTGGGGGTCTTTTACCCCACACACATGGTAAAAGGCTCACCAGCACGGGATAAAAGGCACACGGTATTGATACAAATACGTCAGCTAAAATTATTTTTTTTTTTATATATATTGTCTAAGTTAATACTTCTTCAAAACGATCACTTTAGCAAAGTTTGTACTATTTTCTGCTTATTTTGAAAAATAAAAGAATTTTTTTTTCAATAAATATACTGTCATTAAAATGTTAATATAAAAAAATATACTTTAAAATACAGAAATAAAATCGTTTTAATAAGTAAAGATTCTGAAAGTATTGAAGGAGGTCCAATCATAATTGAATATATATTTACGGTAGTAACAACAAATTATATTTTATATGATTAATATCATGTTTTTAAATATGATGGTTTCATTCTAAACATGGTGATTATCTCTAATATGGACACCCAACATAATATATGATATTTACCACCTGAATCTAACCACGTCATGTCAACAAATGGAAAAGTCAGCCATCTATTAATTATCATGTTAATTACTGTGCGCCTTTAGCCCCAACAGCAGGGGCGCTTTTTACCCCAAATACCATACTTTTACATATTCTTTTGTTATTTAAAAACTGTTGCTTTAATTATCTTAAACAAAACTGAAAATCATAAAGAAGACCTTTGTCTCAAAATATATGCATTAATTTTAGCGATTCTCATTTGCTACTTAAATCTACAACATTTAAAAAAAAACATAAAATATTAGATCAAGTAAGCACAGAATCAACTTTGCACTGCTGCGCGCCAAAGATCAGACAAATATACAAATGCATCTTGAAAAGCAGATGTTTTGGAAAGTGCTATGCCACGTTTTTGTGCCATCTAGTGGTTTAGATGAAAATAATATCAAAGGTGCCTTTTACGCTGGGGCACCTTCAGCCCCGTTGTACCCTACACCCTGTTGCACAGGCCCCCTCAGATTTTCGAGCCAAGTGGATTTGAAATTCAGTTTCCAAAAGACAAAAATAGCCGAATAACATTTTTTTATAAGTCATACAATCACACGGGTGTGATGTGCGGGACATCACTAGCTGCTAAATTAAAATCTGCTTTCGCTGGCTGGCGCTGAGCCAGAGACAGGCACGTTTTACAGCGCTGCGCATTATAACCAATCACACACGAGTCTGTTGAGTTTATGAATGCAATGGCCAATCAGAGGTGTTCAGATGAGTCATCGACGAAACGCCATGTTTTGTTCACTGTGCTAAACTCTGTGCTGCAAGAATTCTGCTCTCTGGTGAATTAATTCTCTCATCAGAAACAACGAAGTGCAGATGTGCGAACGATGTAAGTAAGATATGCATTTCGCAGTGTAAACAGCTTTAGTGATTATGATAGGAGTTTTTGAGAGTGTTTGAACTCTGGCTAGACTGAAGCCAATGATAATGTTCTTTGCTCTCTTTCTGTACAATGAAAGTGTTATAATTAGTAACTTACAATGTTTTTTTAAATTAAATTCACGTTAAATACAAAGTAAATTGTATTAAAAATATTAATACCTCGTGCCCCCTCAAAAATAATAAGTGCATGACGCCCCTGGTACCCTACACTGAGGTTGCTCAACCAACACTTTGACCAGACAGCACTGTAAATCTATGGTTAAACATAATTTCATAAAAATAAAGCTTCTTACAAACTATTCATTGCAAAGAAACCTTTCATATCAAGAACCATTTTACACTGTATAGGATTCTTAAGTTTAGGTTCTTCATAAATTAAAAGTTCTTGATGCATTTAAAAAGTGTAATTTAGCATCAATGCAATTTTCATCTCTCTGAAATTATTCACAGAGGCCATCTTACTAATGGGGATTTACTAGCAGAACTTATGAATGACTTCTGATAAAATTCTAATATCTATATTAAATTCGCATTAATGTAAAATACTAAATCATTTTACACCAAGGATCTAATTTATACGGTGGCCGAGAAGTGCAAAACAAATCACAATTCTGAAAACAAAATAACAAATTACAAACACAAATGCAAGTCTAAAAAACAAAATAACAATTCAGAAAGCACAACAACAATTCAGAAAACATTATAACAAGTCAGAAAACACAATGACAAATCCGAAAACAAATGAACAAGTCAGAAAACACAACGACAAATCAGACAAACCGGAAGAGGTAGGTATAGTTTGAGACAGCGCCATTGGTTTGGGATTACTCACCGCTGACTGGACGAGACATCTGTCAATCAACGTATACAGGAAGAACCAGCCGAAAAACAGCAGAGTCGTGGTAGAAAGTTCGGAGATGTTATTAACGTAGCTCAGTTTAAATGTATTGTATGAATTGCCCTTACTATGGAATTAAAAATACGGGGTGTCTATTTACATTTAGTTAAAAGTGTCTGTAAAACATCAGCTCCAGTGGCACAGATGGATAAGTGCGTGTCGTTGGCTTTTTGAAGCGATCGACTCGGGTTCGATCCAGCCTTTTGCCGAACTTTTATTTTTTTCAGTTTTTTTAAAGAATTTATTTGTTGACAATGTACAAGAACATTTTCAGGCCGATGGTCTTCCCTGAAGGTCTTACTTCTTGCCAGAAACACCAACAGAAGCTTTCTTGGTGCCTCTAACTTTCTTCATTCCGTTCTTGCGTTCCTTGCGCTGTTTTCTAGATGTCTTTTTCTTCTCATAAAGGCCATGCCTTTGCAGCCTGTATTTGGGCTCATTCTTCTTGGCGTAGTCCAACGAGTCGTAGATCATGCCAAACCCTGTTGTCTTGCCACCACCAAACTGAGTTTTGAAGCCGAAGACGAACACCACATCTGGGGTGGTGTTGTACATTTTTGCAAGCTTCTCCCTGATCTCTGTCTTGGGGACTGTTGCTTTGCCTGGATGGAGGACATCGACAACCATTTGCTTCCTTTGAAGCAGCCGGTTTGTCATGAACTTTCTAGTTATTTATAGCTAATAAGGTATTGAGTGTAAATTATAATTTTAATTTTAATTATTAAATGGATGCCACCTTATTGGTACAATAAAGCCCTCCCTACACCTACCCTAACCCTACCCGATACTTTATTTTCAACTTTTTGATTATTTCCTTAATTTTTATTGAAAATAAATGCCTTTACGATGTGATACGAGATTTGAAAAGGGAGAAAAAAAAAGTTTGGCAAAAGGCCGAATCGAACCCGGGTCGATCGCATCAATAAGCAAACCACACGCACTTATCCATCTGCGCCACTGGAGCTGATGTTTTACAGCCACTTTTAACTAAACGTAAATATACACTCCGTATTTTTTATTCCATAGTAAGGGCAATTCATACAATACATTTAAACTGAGCTACTTTAATACCATCTCCGAACTTTCTACCACGACTCTGCTGTTCTTCGGCTGGTTCTTCCCTGTATACGTTGATTGACAGATGACTCAGCGGTGAGTAATCCCAAACCAATGGCGCTGTCTCAAACTATACCTACCTCTTCCGGTTTGTCTGATTTGTCGCTGTGTTTTCTGACTTGTTAATTTGTTTTCGGATTTGTCATTGTGTTTTCTGACTTGTTATAATGTTTTCTGAATTGTTGTTGTGCTTTCTGAATTGTTATTTTGTTTTTTAGACTTGCATTTGCGTTTGTAATTTGTTATTTTGTTTTCAGAATTGTGATTTGTTTTGCACTTCACGGCCACCGTAAATGTAGTCTTTTTACTTCAAAATACAAACTGTAATTTTTACTCCACAAATCTAAAAGCACTGATGTGTCCACAGATCCCTCATTAAAAAAAGACCAGACATAAAAAAGTGTCATATAGTGTCATAGATCACTGTTTTTCAGAGACACAAAATTAGATCAGTTAAGCTCAAAGCTGTTTTGACTGACTAAAGCTTGCAAATGTTGCTATTCAGAGGAAATGGCAAAATTAAAAATAGCATAGCCATTTATCAAAATGTTGAGATTAGATTTTGTGCCATCTATGGTCAAGAGAAAAATCTTCTTGGTCATCTTGCCCCGGGGAGCACCTTACCCTGTGCAAAAAGCAGTATGTCAAATGAGGATGTTCAAATGCAGTATTTATGAAAGACAAACAATATCTGGGTTACCAACCGCATCCACTGAGATTTTGAAACGCAAAACCACAGTACACCTTGCTTTCCAATAGGTCCACAGAAGCTTAGGTCGTCCCTCAGATTTGAAAGGTTGCATTAAGTTAAAAGTACATATGTGACCCTGGAGCACAAAACCAGTCTTAAGTCGCTGGGGTATATTTGTAGCAATAGCCA